ATAGGATTTACGAGACCAGTGCTCTAACCCCTGAGCTACGGAGCCTCTCCTGATAGGATTTAAACCAAACATAGGTGGAGTAGAAGTTGTGAACCAACTTCTCTGTAGGAAACAATGTAGAATTGTTTGCAGCAGCGACTATGCCAGGCCTGTCCTAAGACAATAGCTAATATGGGAGTATGTTCATTATCAAGCAATATGGTGTCTTCAATACTAACACATAGCTATTTAGCATAGTGCAACATTTTTCTGGGTTCCTATATTTTTTTCTGATAAATCTTTAATTGGATCATCATGCCCACATATGTAAAAATCATTTAAAAAAGAGATGAATGGTAGCCTGCTGGTGTGTCCAGATTTGAGCACACTAGGAATAGTCTGCCATCCATTTTTGTAATCAAGTCCTGAAAGTCTGTTTCTCTAAGGACTATGAACACTTCTGTAAGACCCTGTACACACATACACAAAACAGTTGAGAGACTCTCCAGGCTTTGCCAAAGGAGCAGAAATAACATATACTTAGTGCCACTCATGGATATTGGTTTTTCTTCTTGCCATCTGTCAAGACCTAAAACTACACTCAGTTACTAGGACCCAGGCCCTTCTGCTTGTCCCTCTGTTCAAGGTACCCTAAACTCTGACACTGACTTCTCTTCTGTATTATTTCCCAACACTTTAAATGTTTTACTACATTCTCTTCTTCCTTGCATTGTTTCTGAAGATAAGTCAGATGAAATTCTTATCTTTGCTCCATTGTAGTTAGGGTGTTCCCCCCCTCCTTGGCTTCTTTCAGGAGTTCATCTTTGATTTTCTGTAATTTGAAAATGATACATCTAGGTGTATTTTTTTTTTTTTTTTTGACATCTCTTCTGCTGGGTGTTCTCTGAGCTTCCTGGATCTGTGGCTTGGTGTCTGGTATCAATTTGGGGAAATCCTCAGTTATTATGCTTTCCAGTATTTCTTCTATTCCTTTCTTTCTTCTCCTTCAGATATTTCCATTACACGTATGTTACACCTTTTGCAGTTGTCCCAGAGTCCTTGGATATTCCGTCTGAGTTTGGGTTTTTGTTGTGGTTGTTGTTTTTCAGTCTTTGTTCTCTTCGCTTTTTAGTTTTGGAGATTTCTGTTGATTTATCCTCAAGTTCAAAGCTTATTTCCTTAGCCATGTCCAGTCTACTAATAAGCCCATCAGAGACATTCTTCATTTCTGTTATAATTTTTTTTTTATCTCTAATATTACCTTTTGGTTCTTTCTTAAGGTTTCTCTCTGTTTACACTACCCATCTGTTCTTGCATGCTGTCTATTTTATCCATGAGAGCCCTTAGCATATTAATCAGCTATTTTAAATGATTGGTCTGGTAAGTTCAACATCCCTGCCATGTCTGTTCTGATACTTGTTCTGTCTCTACAAATTGCATTTTTTTGACTTTCGGTATGCTTTGTAATTTTTTCTTGATAGCCAGTCATAATATACAAAGTTAAAGGAACTGCTATAAATAGATCTTTAGACACGTGCAAGTAAGCTGGGGGTTTGGGGAAGCGTTTTATAGTCCCATGATTTGGTGTCAGTCTTTTAGTGAGCCAACACCTCTGGACTGTGACCTTCACAAATGTTTTTTCAGTGTCCTGCCCCCTTAATTGAGAAAGGATGGCTAGAGTGGTCTGAATTGGGTATTACCCTTGTCCCAGATCAGTTAGGCTCTGATAACTAGGTTTCCAGCAGGTTAAGCTCTGGTTAACTAGTTTCCCTGAGGGAAAGACCTGTTAAGAGAAGAGAATTCTCTGGTGTAATTCAAAATGGTTCCTTTTTCCTGACCCCTGCTGAAATCCCAAACGGATTTTTCTCTCATATTTATTGTGAGAACCTGGTCAAACTCCTGGAAGTAAATCTCACAAAATTATGGTATCCTTTCCCCAGGACTACATTGCCCAGGGGTTTTTTAACTCTCAAAGTTGTCTGCACTGAACCTCCAGCAATTCATCAATTACAGTTCAGGTTTTCCTGCCCCCACACTGATTCCCAGGTTGATTTCCACTCATGAGTCTTTGCTGGGGTAAATACTATTCTCCATATTTGTGTGTCAGTCTCTCCAATCTTGGGCATAATACTTTGCCCTGTTTCCTCACCTCTCTTGCTTTCCTCCTAAATCTTTTATACAATTTTTCATGTGTTACCCTATTTTTAATTTCCAGGAACTATTTTTGGTTCATTAAGTGTTTCTTGTTTTGACTTCAATTTTTTTTTGTTCTACAGCCTACTATTCTTGTTTTATATATATGTACACTCTCCTCAACTTCTCATATTATTCTGAGGATATTTGTTATATAATTTAAAATCTATTTCTTCTCCCAGAATTGTGTAGTTTTGTTTGTTTCCTCTGAGTTCCTCTTTTCTATACACTTTTTATGTTTGTTCATCCATTCTTTCTTTTCCTCGTCAGGAATTTACTTAAATGTTTAGTGATGTCTGTTATCTGAACATATGTAGAAATTAAACACTCAAAAGCTATTTGGGACTTCACTGAATGTGGGAATCTTATTTTCACACAGACCTTACTGTAGGGTGATTAATCTGTGATACTGCACTAGGGAACTTCAGACTTTATATATTTACACACATTCTCTCTTGTGATGTACCATTTCCCCAGAGAAAATTCCTCTAATATTGTGCCAGTGGAGATGTGGACCTAACTATTAAGTTTCTGAGTCATTTGGGAGAAGCACGTCACATTCAGTGGAGCAACTTACTCTTTAATATCTTTGACTTTACCCCAACTCTCTGCTGCACCTACTGGTTCTGAGTGAAGGATATCCCTGGATCAAATTATGCCAACAGTAAACCTGTTCCCAGGGTGGGGAAAGGGATCAGCAATGGATTTCTGGAGAGATTCAGGGAATCTAATTGCTTCTTTTACAAACTTTTAATCACTATTCATATGTTTAGTCCCACATATAACCCTACTTACAGAAGCATCTGGTGCCTCTATTTCTTGAGACTTTTGAGGGTACATTGTAAAAAGCAGCCTGACTTGTTTCCTCTCTCAACTTAAATTTTAACTTCCTTCTGTCTAAGTCGGTTACCACTCATCCATCTGCTTTCTAGCTTCCAAACTTGTGTTAGTGCTGTCTCATCTACCATCTCCTTTGTCCTAATGAGTGAAATTTTTTATTCATTTCCTGTCAATTTAGCAGAGTGTCAGAAAGAAATGGAACACATTTGTTTAACTGAGTGATCTCAAATTCACAGTTTAAAGGGTACTCTAAAAGATATTATATATTTATTTATTAATGTTTATGCTTCTCCTTGTTACTCAAAACATTATTGATACTGGAGGACTGCAAGTACTTTAAAACCAAGTTACTGCTTAAGGGGCACAAGATTCACAATTACATAAGTTAAATAATTATGGAAACAGACAGTAGATTATGATCAGTTCAAATTCATTTATTCCATAAATACCTTTGGACCACCTAATGTGTCAAACCAATTAAGAAACTCCTGAAATAGTACTTAAGTGAACTGAGGAGGGTGTGGTCTGAATTAAGATAGCAACCATGGAGAAGAAGGGGAACAGATGAATTTTTAGAAATATATAAAGAGAGATATTTCACAAATTTTTCCAAATTATATTTGCTCTATGCTCTTATATTAGTTTGGTAGGCTACAGTAACAAAGTGGAACAAACTGGTGGCTTAAATAACTGAAATTTATTATTTCCCAGTCCTGGAGACCGGAAATCCAAAATCAAAGTACTGGCAGGGTTGATTCCTTCTGAGGGCAAGGAGGGAAGGATCTGTTTCAGGCCACTCCCCTTGGCTTATTGATGGCTGTCTTCATGTTCATATGGCATTCTCCCTGATAACTGACAGTCTCCAAATTTCCTCTTTTTACAAGGACACCAATCATATTGGATGAAGGTCCACCCTAATGAGCACATTATAACTTGATTGTCTTTATTAAGACTTTATCTCCAAATAAGTTCACATTATGAGGTACTGGGGGGATTGGGCTTCAATATATGAGTTTTAGGGAATACAATACAAGCCCTAACAACCCTCTTCAAATAAAGGATGAGAAAATTAGTTTAGAACTGAATAAGAACTTAGGTAAATTAGAGTGAGGTCAACAGGAGAACATAGAGCCTGCCACATTCAGGACTCACAGTCTAATTTAATATAACAGAGTGTCCTATTAAATGCTCCAGAAAAAAACCAAATGATGTCCCTGAAAGACCCATGCATAGATTGCCTTTCCTCAGTCACTACAGAAGCCACCAAGGCTTTGTCTCTGTACCACAGATATGACTAAAGATAAACTCATTGGCTTAGAAACACAGGAGTTAATAGTACCTGCTCAATATAAAATAATAAAGTACTTTTTAAAAACAATAAAATTAGAATGCATGTTTAAAAACACAAGTTATAATTTGGTAAATTATATTTAATTTAATTTAATTTAATTATGAGTTTATACAACTTTTTGCCAAAAAAAATCACAGAGATCATATAAGCCAAAGGTGTCAAGTTGAGGTGTGCTTCCCAATCACGTGGGGATCTTTTAAAAATACACAGATTCTTGATCCCCACTTCATATACACTGAATAAAATTTTCATGAATGCATACTTTTTTAGAAGCTCTCCAACTGATTCTAATGCAGACTGCCTGATCCATCTGCTTTGTTTTGAGCTGAGGAAATGGAGACCATTTTAATGAAATTACATAGGAAAGGACATATTTAATAAAAATATATGACCTATTTCATTTTGATCAACAGAAAACCCAAGGACTAGTAGAAACTACTTCAAAAAACAGTTTTGTTGACACAGTCCATAATGCTGCTCTTCTTATATTACGGCAAAGACAGTTGAGAGATATTTGCTTCCCTTTAGCAATATTTTAAAGTTACCTATATTTAACATAGGCAGATTTTTAAAAAAATTTTTTAAAAATCTTCTAAGGGAATAAGAACAATTATGAAAGAGACTTTTAGAAACTTACAGATGATGTCCTATCCACTTCACAACGGCTGCTCAGAATAAAACAGGCCTCAGCATCATCCATCCTAAATACAGACAAAAAAATAATAATAATAATCATACACTGAAATATCTTTGTAGTGTCTGAAAAATAGAATTCCAATGCTTAGTCCAATGTACACAAAGTGCAAATAAACTATGAGTATCCTTAGGCTTAAACGATAGTTAGATTTCTAGCAGATCATGACTGTACTTGATTATAAACAAAGCAATGGTTGTTGAATTGACTATATAACTCAACAGTTCATAATAACAAAAATTAAAAAAACACTCAAATTTTATTCTCTTTTATGATTATATATTTTTTCATGTATAAACTAAGGGAGTTGTATTGGCCTTTACTTTATGATTAGTTACATTTTAACTGCAAAGTTACTCAACTAAGAGAGAAGGAAGAGCTACTTAGTATTCTTATATCAAACTCTACTGTACATTTACATTTCTTGGAGATAATTCATCATCTTGTTCCCAACCCTTGTCCTTTATACTAAAGTTCTACATTTCTTAAATTTGGTGATAAACAGTAGGTTTCAGTGCTTGATAAATAATGTTCTAAAAACATAAATATGTTGGGGTGCCTGGTTGGCTCAGTTGGTAGAACATGCGACTATTGATCTCGGATTGTAAATTCAACCTCCCCATTGGGTGTAGAGATTACTTAAAAATAAAAAATCTTTAAAAAAAATAAAAACATAAAAATGTTAATTTCAAAATAAGGAATGTTTTATCTTTCTGATTCATTATGATAAAATAAACCTCCACCCCCCCCAAATTTTTTTTCTATGCAGAGGAAAGATAAAAGTCCAGGAAATTAGATCAAACCAAACAGTTTTGGAAAAATATTGAGTCATGGTTATAAGATAATTAGTATTGCATAACATTTTCTAAACATCATCTTCAACAAAGCAATTCAAAATTCATGCAACTGACCTTTGGAACTGGTTTGGAGAATCCTACTCCTTGTTTCTTGCATGGGAAATTGTGTTGAAGAATGTATTAGTTAACATTAAATCCCAAATCTTTATATGACATTAGGATAAGAAATGAACATAAAATGAATACTTCTTTCTTAACCCAGATTTTTTAGTATTACCAGCCTGCTACCTCTCTCTCATCCTCATTCTTATCCTTGGTATATTCCAATGAATGAATGCTTCTTGTAAATGTGATTGACTTTGCTGAGAAATCATTTTAATAATATTAATAATAAATGAATTGTTAATCCTAAATAAATCATGAATAAAAAGATAAATCATTTTCCCTCTACCCATCTAGGTCCTTGGCTGAGACTCCTCTGTAATAAAAAGACAGATTAACAGAAGAAAAGCAAACAGAAGTTTAATAACACGTATACCTCCTGTATACGTGGGAGACACCCTGGAAAACTGATTAACTCCTCTCCCATGAAGCCACCACCTTAAACACCATTTTCAGCTAAAGACCAAGATGTTTGGCTTACGGTGAGCCAGTTATGGGAACCTATCAAGAAAAGCACAGTAAACCAGCGTAGGTTGTCATACAGATTTAGGTCCTTGCTTTCTCCATTCACAAGAGTTTGCAGAGATTGAGTCATCCTCTTCCAAGTACAGAGAGAGAGAGAGACACCCTTATGGATGGAGATTTCCCTTATAAATGGAAATGTCCCTTACAAAAGGATTAACTTCTACTAGGTTTTCAGTTTTTCCTGTGTCTGCTGTTTCTTAAAAATAACCAGCTCACAATAATCCTTACACCACTGAGGCATATTTTGGGGTAGCAAATTCGGCTCCCTTCTATAGTATCAAGCTAAAATACTAACAGCTAATACTAATAGCTTAGATTAATTTATTAGGTAATTAAAAAGCCTTCAATTATCGCATAAATTCATAGTGAACATAATATGGGAATTATTCTTATGTGAATAACTTAATGCATACAGTAATTAAGCATATTGATTATCTATACAGATGAATATAAAGATCCAAATTATGTTAGTGTCTAAGCAACTATTTCTTTAGAGCTCCCAAAAAATGTATATAGATAGCAAATAGCAAACACCTAAAGCCATCTATTGCTTGAGGTACTAGGAGAATCTGACTTGACTCTTGTGTGTACATTGACAATATCTATGAAGTATTTAATCCACCGGAAATACTAATATGTTCTCAAAGAAGCTAAATTTCCTAATTAGGTACCATTCATAATATCCTGATGGTTTCTACTAACTTTTTTGTTTCAGAAGTTATTAAATCATTGAAAAATCTCACTTAAATTGCCCTACTGTATATAAATCAAAGGTAATGTCAAAGTTCCAGTTACAAAATATCTAGTCATCACTTTGCAGAATTAAGCAGCAAAAAGGATTTTGGGAGTTTTCTTCTGTTCTTTTCCACTATCCACATACACACACACACACACACACACAACATGCATAAACACACCCATCTCCACTAACACACATACTCAAGCCATCCAGAAAAAATAAAGCAACAAAATAAAAAAACACTTATGCTCTCAAATTCAGTGAGGAGACTTAAATTTAAGAGCACATAAGACAACTCAGGGACAAATATGGAGAGGTAGGATCCAAGGCCACTCCAAGATGGGCCACGTTTTCATGAAGATTACTTTCAGCTAAAAAGCAATCAAAACCCAGCAGATTCAGGAAAGCTCTTTATCTCCCTCTTCAACTGCCTGAAAAGAATTTAGACAGAAAATCTGCTCCAGGAAGGGAGGTATCACCATAGATAACTACATTATGATACAAACTAGGGAGGGCAGGCAAGGAAGAACCTAGCAAAGCCTGTTTGATTCAAGTCCTCCATGTCCCATTGTTTCTGAGTGGCCCAGCAAACATTTGTTTACCAAACATTTACTCTTTTTTTTTTCTTTATTATTAATATATAATGTATCATTTGTTTCAGGGGCACTGGTCTGTGATTCATCAGTCTTACACAATACACAGCACTCTTGTTCATCTCCCTGTAACTTGCTTTCCTTCCCCTGGTAGTCCCAGACCTCTACCCCTTCTCCTTAGCTCAGAGTGACATATTTTCCTGTCTTTGGAAGTTCCATGTCTGTATGGATTCCCTGTACGTACACTATTAAATTTGATTTTCTCCTGTTAATCTGTCTCATGTCAATTTGATTCTTAGTCCAGCTAGAAGGATCTAGAAGGGGATAGGATATTCTTCCTCCCCAACAAAGACATGTTTAAAACTTTAAAAGCAACAGAAAACATGGAGCAAAACCACCCCTGCTGAAGGTTTCTTCTGGCTTCTGAAACGACGGGTGTTGTTTGCAGAGGCCCTGACTCCCTGGTGTCCGTGGTCGGCCCAACCATGTTTTCAGTCTGTTCATATGGAACGATCCCATGACCTGTGACAAAGGTGTGTGCCTATGTCACCTTTAAGCCAGGTTGACTAGCACATGTGCTACAGGAAAAGAGCAACTAAGACCCAGTTACCTTCCTCCAGCCCCAGGGACATCACAAGTGTCATCTGCCCGGTACATAAAACAAACTCTAGAATTTAAACCCTGACTCAAACTGCTTTGGCATTTCATAGAATGGTTAGCCCCAAATTTTTATTTGTGGAATAAAAACAGTATTCAGGGATTTGGAGACTACTCTAACAGTGAGTCTGGATAACTCAGCTCTTGCCTGACAGCTTGAGATAATCACACCATGCCACACTCCTCATTGTGTTGTGTGGACACGGTCTGCTGAACATCCTTGCACTGAAGAAGGGAGCAAATACACTGATTTTATATTTTTAACCTTTCAATTTGACCAGCAGAGGGACTATGGCAAGATTCTGTATTCAAAAATATTTAAACACATCTTGCAAGACTGAAAATTGCTAAAATTTGGAGGAGAGAAGAGATATTAAAGTATTGCAAGATGGAAAATAGATAGGGATACCTACTTTGCTCTCAACAGATCCTGATCTTTAAGGGCTGAGCCTTGAAGGTAGATTACTCTTTGTGACCACATTGGAATCTGCAGTACCCTTCGAACTTGCACATCCATTTCAGTAGGACACAAAATCACCACATAATAATCCTATTCAAAACAAGGTGAGCAATGGGGCAAAATCAATAATGCTGTGTTTTATGTTACATAAGTAAACAGAATGTCTAAGAACATTTAGAAATATGATGATATAGAAATAAACTCCTGCTAGTAAGTAAAAATTTGTGTTTAAAACCTGGACATACATTAACATGATACTATAATAAACATAACTGAGACATATAAAAATCTCATAAAGCAACATAAGGTCATCCTGACCTTTTTCAATCTTATTAGTACCATGAAGAGAAGGTAATCAGTGTATACTCAGTAGACATTTCCAACCTATGAAGTTTTCAGTTATAACTTCAGGCTGATTCTAAAATATGTAATACATACAGGACAGAAGTGCTTAAAAATCAATTCATACTTCAAGTTTTTACTTGATTTCTGATGGTGATTTATATCATTTGGAAATATTATGAACTGATAATACTGAAAAATCTCTGATGAATATCTGAAAGGATAAGGATTCATAAAAATATTGATAATACAAAGTAAATTTAAAACTTTGAGATCACATATTTCAAAATTATGACCCTTTTGAAAAAATACAAAAGTACTCTGAGTGATAAGATAGTTTAATACACTGATTATAGGAATTACAATTCTTTGGGCAACATTCACTATTTTATCATCTAAAATGTATCTAGTGGAAATTTGGGGAGTTTTGAGAATTTGCCACATTGATATCAGACAAAATAAATTACTAGGTATCAAAACCTGGGGCATCAAATTTTCCCAAAAATAGGTTTTCTTTATGGATGATAATGAGCAAAACCACAATTACTTAATATGAATAATAATAAAAACAACAAATAAATATGATGTTTCTTCAAAAATGCAAATTAATTTATATGAAAACAAAAGAATGTATGGTGTAATTTAAGTATCATTTATAAATTATATTTTTTTTAATATTTTTTAAATAGTATTTTAAAAGATCTCCAATATAGTCATGAAAAAAAAGATCTATTTAAGGGAGACCTAATTAGATAACTCAGTACTGTTTTGATCTCAGGACTGTCCAACCTCTTGACACAAATTTATTGAGGAAATACAAGACATTCAAGTAGCTCCTTACTGTTTGGACTGAAAGTGCATTGAGCAGGAAAAGGAGATTATCTAAATATACACTGGCCCAGTACCACACAGCAAGTGGCATAAGTATCTGAGGATTTTATCTGCATAGACAGATGAAAAGATTTTTTTTTTCTGAATTATTGTTCTCAATTCAGCTAGTTGTTGTCCAGTTTGGGGTCACTCATTGCTAGGATAAATAAGACCTAGGTACACTCTGGGAAACAAAAGGAAAAATGGAACTTTCAGACTTTCACATTTCTATCAGCAACACTTGATAAAACTTTTGATAATTTCAAGTGAGTAGATGATATTGTGAAATGACTTTTTCATTGTTTGATATCTTATGTTAAATTCTACTGTTTCATAAAAATGTCATTTGTGCATTACCCAAGGGAGAAAAAAAAATCCATTTAATTCAAAGAAAACCTTTCTTTGTAGCATTAACATAATTCCATCTGTCTTTTAGTGTAGATACAGAAGGAAACTTAAAATACTGTGTATTCCTTAAGCATTTTTTTCTATGTTCCTGGTTATATTCGCAGTTCTTCATTTACTCTTTCTAAATTTGAGTGTATAAATAAAAATCCTCCAGAATGCAGGCTGCACCATCAGTTAATTGACTTGGACAATATGTTAGTTAGTTATGATCCAGCAAAGGCATAACATAATTTTAATGTACCTGAAGTCTTGGGTGAGCATAGAATTCATTTAAAAAGTCCATAAGTAAATCAATCTTCAGTGAACTGACACACAGAACAACATGCTTCTCAGTTTGAGCTCTATGTCGACTATAGTTTCCACCTGACTTTTGTCTCTCCATCCACAAATAGGCCAGCTGTTCAAACTGCAATGCATTTTCCACAAATGAATAAAAAACTTTAGACATGAAAATAAAAATCAATGCAATACATCCATCGTTTATTAGATACACTCAATTTCTTAGATGGAACTCACTGAGATTCAAATTATCTGTATTCCCTTCAACAACAGACTTTTCATGTGATTGCTGTACAAGTTGCTAGTGCTTCCCAGGGGCCTCAGGTCTCTACAGAAACATATTAATATGATTTTCCTATTATATCATAACAGCACTAAAAGGTTTGTGCCTCTGCTTTATGTCCGGTAAAGCAGGCAGCCATGATGTGTCATGCACTGCGTCAAAGAGAAAAACATCAAAGGCATTTCTTCTACCTTCTTCAACCAAGTTCAGCACCCATCTCATGCAATGAGAGATACCCAACACACAAGGTCACATTCTAGTTGTACAGCTGTAGTTGGTATGTAAGGGAAGTGGAGGGATGTCAGGAAGGAACACATGCATGATTGGATAAAAGTGGGAAGATCATTTCCATACCTACATAAAAGATATTTAGATATACTGTGGCCAGAGGTTTGTAATGGAAGATACAAGTTTGATTTGTATTTGCCATATCCTGTTTCTGACCTGCTCACCCATGGGCACCTAAGAGCTCACTGTAGGAAAGAGCTGGAGATTGCATCTGCTTATCTTTAGTCTCCTTTTATATCTCTGTCCCTTTGCAACCACCTTATCCACTCCTAGAATGTTGTATATTAGTTACATATCATCTTCAGATTTTGTTTTAGTTGACCAACATACGTGATCAGTTTTTATTTATTGCAATATTTAGCTTTTATATTGTTTCAAGAACCAAAAGAAATCAAACCTTCATAAGTTTATTTCTTTGATCTCTCATTCTGTAATTAAAACTATATTGTCCTATGATCTTATAATTAATATAATTAAATACCTTATATTTCAAAGAAACGTCTTTAAGAATTGAAATGAGATGTGAGTTATTTCAGTTGTGAACGGAGGGGAAAAAAGTCAGTTTCTAATATAATATGGAAAAGCGTTTCCTGAGACCATTTTAATTCATTGACTAGATACAATAATAACATGTGTCAATATATTACATTAATAAACCACCCTGCATTTCTTACTAAGCATGAAAGAGTTGATTTTATAAGATTTGCACATTTCTATAAAATTTACCCTGGCTCTGTTTACCTGTATGGGTAGAACCACAAGAGCAACACAGATCATGGCAACGACAAAAAGCTTGGAGGACCATGTCTCAGGGGTGACATCCCCAAAGCCCACAGTGGAAAATGTCACAATGCAGAAGTAAAGGGAGTCAAAGAGATTCAGCTTCTTCCCTATTCGTTCCAGATGTTGGATTCCACAAATGCTAAAGAAACAAATGTGCATTAAAATTAAAACTTTCAAATTGGGCACATTATTTCTCATTATTCTTTTGAAAGCACATTTCAAAAGGCATGCGGTAAGCTGGATCTTATATTGTACAATCTTTTTTTCCTCAGGAAAATATCATTTTTAAGTTTTTTTACCCATATTAACCAAATATAGTATTATTTTGATTGATAACCAAAAATTGTAGCCAAAATATCACAGAGTATACTGGAGTAGCATGTAAAAGGAATAGACTGAATTTCATGGGTGACTAACACAAACATTTTGAATGCATGCCAGGAAACATAGAGACAGAAATTGCTAAATTTATTCCCTGTCAAAAGAGTGATAGTCTTTTTTTTTTTACAGGAAGCCATCTTATTGTATAATGTGTGTGTGTTTCATATATATATATGAAAGGTTTGAGGAGTTAACAATTGCCAAGTCATTCTCAAGAGATCAACCATCTGTATAAAGCTACTAATGGTATAAAAGTAAGAGAGCAGCATAGAAATTGTTACAAGATGTCCCCAAAGTAGAATTGTTAAAATAGCACTAAAAATAGCACTACTACTGGCAAATAAAAAAGAAAAAGAAAAAAAAGGAAAGGTGAGTCTTGGAGGGAGATAGGAGATTTGCACATAAATCAGTGTATAATGGCACACAATTCAGCAAGAAGAAAAAAAACAGGTATCAATGCATATTATAATATGGATAAACCACAAAAACATGGTCAGTGAAAGAAGACGGATGTAGAAAACTACAGACTATATGATACTGTTTATACAAAATGTCCAGAAAAGAGACAGAAAGCAGACTAGTGGCTGCCTGGGGCTGATGGTGGGAAGAAGGGTGATAGAAAAATGTTCTAAAACCGGAATGTGGTGATGATTGCAGAACTCTGTAAATGCATTTAAAATGATTGATATTTACACTTAAAATGAGTGCACTGTATGGCATGTAAATTATTCCTCTACAAAGCTGTCCAAAAAAAAATCAGTGTTTACTTTTGGATACTCATTCCAACCCCTATGCACAACAAGAAGACAGCTTGATTTTGATGACCACGAAGACCATGAAGAGGTAATATTCAATGTTTAATTTTTCTATTTTCTTTTCTATCCTTTTAAGATAATCTTCCTATTTGTCTAGGTTACATATCAAAAAATATTTAATTATCTCAAATATTAAATGTTTTTTGATTGTTTTGTTTTTTTAAGGCAGAGTCTAAGCCAGTGGATAGGTAGATAGGTGGGTAAGCACACAGGTAGATAAACCAAGGGACAGAAGAGAAATAGTAGGGTACTTCTCATCATTTACTGCTGAGGCAGAGACTGTTCTTTTTTTATTTTCTTTTTCTTTTTCTTTCTTACCTCCACGTTTCCAGAATGGTTCAGCAAAATTGCCCTTGTTCTATGCTTAGGAATTTTGTGTGAGCTGCCAGGTCATATGGGTTGATTCGTATCAGTTTATTTGCTCTGCTGTCCCTATGCAATATAATAGCCAAACTAACTATAAGACTATTCAATTGGAGCCTTACTATAACCAAAGAGAACAACTGTTTGATAACAAATATTTCTGCGAGGTAGGTTTTTTAATTTTATCACAAAAATATGTATTTGAAAATGTAAACAGTTTATGCTCAACTTTTACACTTCAGTAGAAAATAAAATAAGGAAGATAAATTACATAGTTTAAGGATTCAAATGTTAAAGGCTTACTATATATTGCATAACTACACATTAAAAGTCAGTCCCTGTTCATAGATAAAATGTCCATTTTTTAATTCAGATAAACATTATCTTCACCTAAACTAGTATAAAAGTCTCCTACTCTGCTTCCTTGTCTTCAGATTGTTCCTTTTTTTTTTTTTTTAAGATTTTATTTATTCATCTGAGACAGAATGAGAGAGAGAGAGCACATGAGAGGGGGGAGGGTCGGAGGGAGAAGCAGGCTCCCCGCCGAGCAGGGAGCCCGATGCGGGACTCGATACAGGACTCCAGGATCATGACCTGAGCCGAAAGCAGTCACTTAACCAACTGAGCCACCCAGGCGCCCCCAGATTGTATAACCTATTCATAATGGCCACATTCACATTCCTTAAACAAAGCTTAGAGGGGCGCCTGGGTGGCTCAGTTAGTTAAGCGTCCAACTCTTGATTTCAGCTCAGGTCATGATCTCAGGGTTGTGAGATCAAGCCCTTGCCTTGGGGCTTAAGATTCTCTCTCTCCCTCCCCCACTCCCCCGTCCCCTTCCCTGTGGGTGCGTGCACTCTCTCTTGCTAAAAAAAATTAAAATAAAATAATTAATTAATTTTAAAAAGCTTGGCTATGTCAATCTCAGCTTTAAAAAAAGGCACTGGACGGGGCGCCTGGGTGGCTCAGATGGTTAAGCGTCTGCCTTCGGCTCAGGTCATGGTCCCGGAGTCCTGGGATCGAGTCCCGAATCGGGCTCCCTGCTCCTTGGGAGCCTGCTTCTCCCTCTGCTTCTCTCTCTCTCTCTCTCTCTGTCTCTGTCTCTCATGGATAAATAAATAAAATCTTTAAAAAAAATAAAAAAATAAAAATAAAAAAAGGCACTGGATTCTTACAATTTAAGACCACTTTGTAATTCATGATGTGATAGATTATTATAATAGCTGCCAATAAATCAAGCCTTCCTATGCTTATGCCTGTTTGCAACATGATATTGCTGTACTTCCCATCAAAAGTGAAATCTAGGGTGCCTTCATGGCTCAGATGGTTGGGCGGCTGCCTTCGGTTCAAGTCATGATCCTGGAGTCCCAGGATCAAGTCCCACATCCAGCTCCCTGCTTGGCAGGGATTCTGCTTCTCCCTCTGATCCTCCCCCGTCTCGTGCTCTCTCTCTCTCTCTCTCTCATTCTCTCTCTCTCAAATAAATAAAATCTTTTTTTAAAAAAGTGAAATCTAGTTCTCCATGTCCTTGCATTTGAACAGCCTAATAACTTATTTGACCAACAAAATTTTGTAGAAATGATGGTGTGTGGATCACAGAGCAGGGATCTTACAAACACCCTGAAGTTTTTGTTCTTGCTGACTTAGAAGTCTGAGATTACCATGCTGTACAGCAGCCTGGTATAATCTACTGAAGGATGAGAGGCTTGTGGAAAAAAAAAAAAATGTCCCAACTAACAGCCAGCACCAACTGCCAGACATGAGAGTCGGCCATCTTGGATGCTCCAATTCCTGTCAGGCCATCACATGACTGAAGCCAAGAATAACTGCAAGTGAGACCAGCAGGAAAACTATCCTGGTTCCAACCACAGAACTGTGAGAAACAACAAACTGTGCTGTTTTAAGCCACTACCTTTTAGGTGGCTTGTTATTTGGCAATAGATATGTGGTACATACAAAATTAATTAGACTCCAGCATCTGGATCTAATCTGGTTTTTCTCAAATTTTTCTCTCACTTTATCTCCCCTTCACTTACTATTTGGATGGTTTACCTATCATAGTATATAATCCTTACCCTCTATATCGAATTTGCCCAATCTATTCCCTACAACTGAAGCCCCCTCTCCATAACACCTACTGTGATTCCCATTTTTTGAACCCTAGCTCAAAAATGACCTCCTTTATAAAGACTTCATTGAATCTCAAGTTCAAGGAATTCCTAGAAGTTCCTGCTGAATTCCTAGAGCACATAGGAGTTCATGTCTCACATAGGTAAACTTTTACAATAATACCTATTTTTAGAGTTTAATATTTATCACCCCAACTCAACTATTACTTACCCTACTGACACTATTTACACCTATATTTTTATTTCCTAGAGCACTTAGTACAAAGTGCTTAGTAGTCACTCATTAACTAACTGCTAAAAGAACAAAAGAACACCTGCTTAAACCATACTCAAATAATACATGCAAACAAACTCCAGAAAGCAGTTCATTCATGTGTTTCTGCTTTTTATTACTTGCATAACCAACTCCCCAAAACTCAGTGGCCTCAAACTGTAATAATTTATCATTTCACATGATTCCGTGTGGTAGGTGGGAATCTTCTCGGGTTTTCTTGGGCTCATCCATGTGGCTGCATTGAGCTAGAAGTCTGGCTAGAATGAAAGGTCCAAGGTGGCCTCACTCCTGTGCCAAATGGCCAGTGTTCACTGTTGTCTGTTTGCCTTGCTTGGTTATTCTCCATGTGACCACCCATCCTCCAGTAGATTCAGTCTGCTTCATTACTGTCCCAGGGCAATGATAGCAACTGAAAGTCCTCTTCAGACCAAGCTTTATCTGCCCCATTCTATTTGCCAAAGCAAGTCACTAGATCAGCCCAGATTGGAGGAATGGCTGTGGAAATAGACTCTATCTCCTGATGAGAAGAGCTACAAAATTTTGTGATCATGTTTTTCAATCCACCAAACTGTATAAGTGAGAATACTTATCATAACTTATATAAATCTTAATAAATATTATTGAATAAATCATGTTACAGTCCAAGATATTTAATTGCTTTGATATAACTGTAGTTAAAATCATGCTTTCAATCATTTTTTATAATCCTATGTAAAATGCCATTTTACTTGACCTAGAAAAATCATGTGAAATTTTCACATATTTATCAATATCACACTTAAGATTCAAGACTTGATATACCTTAATACTCACTAAATCAATATGAAAATGAAGACACCCACATCAGCTGTTACACACTTGGTATTATTATACAAAAACAAAAATTAACATTATTTTTAAGGAGTAATAAAGGTAAATACACTGAATTACTTTTAGAGTTTTTGTCTGACTTTTTTTTTTAAGATTTTATTTATTTGACAGAGAGAGACGGAACACAAGCAGGGGGAGAGGGAGAGTGAGAAGCAGGCTTCCGCTGAGCAGGGAGCCCAATGCGGGGCTCGATCCCAGGACCCTGGGATCATGACCTGTGCCAAAGGCAGACAGTTGACGACTGAGCCACCCAGGTGCCCCAGTTTTTCTCTGATTTTGAATAGGCCTGTCAACCAGTTTCATTTAGGTC